GGCTGTGCAACACAGAGAAGACAAGTAGTGATTCTACAGCATCCTACTATGCTGATGGACAGTGACTATAATGGGGTTTGTGGGGGGGACTTGGTGATGGGAGGAGTCTAATAAACAAAATGTTCCTCATGTAATTGTAGATTAATGATACCAAAATAAATAAAATAAATAAAAATAAAAAAACTATAAGGAAGTTCATATTATTTTAAGACATTAGTTTTGTGGAAATTTGTTACAACAGCAAGAAATATTAAGAAACTGACCAAAACTATTTCTCAGCTTAAACTCTTTAAAACCTATTAAGCCCAACCATTGTTAAACTAACCTGTAGAGTACTTGTTATACTGTTGACCTTCTGGGTGACATCTACTGCAGGATAATTTAGAGTTTCCCTGTGTGTTGACCTGGCAGTCCATCGACTCAATCGGTCACGAGAGCATAAGTGTTCTGAATCACTGGAGGATTCTGCCATTGATGTACACAAATCCTTAAAAATAAATTCAACTCAAGGTCAATCAAATGGTAAGCAGCATGGAAATATGAGACCAAGTTAACTTTACTTTTTTATCTTTTTAAGTATTTATTAACCCTTTGGCATATCATAATTTGTACACACATAGCTTGAAAACAAGTCACTTTCCCATGTAATCCTCCCTCCATTGTTCTTCTGCAGTGAGAGAGCAGCTCCTCAGATGATTCCTGTCATGTTTACAACTCCAAATAATAATAATCCCTTAGTTTCATACAATGCTCCTAAATTTTAAAAGCACTTTTAAATAGAGTAATCCTACCAAGAACACTATAAAGTAGATGAGACAGATAGATTGGTATCTCTACAATGAAAAAAAACACAGATAATCTCTAAGGCTAGGATCTGCAGGTTTCAATATTAGTCAGATGTCCACTCTACTAAGCTATAAGAACCTATGTATATCTTTAAACAATAATAAAATATACACAGAATGGCCCAAAATAAGAGAATCTCATTCAGTGTATAGTGAGCACTCTCATGCACCTTAATTTAAAATAGAGAACTAAACAAATACTGTAACAGAGTTAGAAATTCTACAGTAACAAGTATGTGGGAAGATGGCATCCTAAACACCTCTACAAAACAGAAAATTAAACATCCTGAGTATAATCTCATCAGCAGAAAATTCTCTAAATATGCCTTCCTCCCATTCTTGCCATATTTTGGATTAAAGCAAATGAAAATTATTTCATGCGGGACAATTGCAAAAGTTTCAGAACACCATTTATAGAAGTTGAAGAAACAAAATGTATTTGGAACAAAGAAGCATCAGAGAAACTCAATTGATCAAAAGTAAAAGTTTGTTATTCAATTATTTCATTTTTTCCTTAATGGAGGGTTAACTTAATCTTTAACACTGTTATAATCTTCCTGAAATCTATAATGGCCATTCCTTCTGATTTATTAAATACAGTGTGATGAAACCTTTCTTTAATGATCTAGAATATTCTGGACTCTTTGGATCTTTATTCTGGATGCATCTGGGAAGCATATGACCATACATCTAAAACAAAGATAAAGGGAATTAGCTACATACATACAGATCCTAAACATTTAGTGAAAGCAGCCACATTTTTTAAATATTAAATAAAATAAATAAAAATATAAACAAGCAAGGTTCCTGTCTTCATAGGTTTTTCAAAGTGAAATACAGTCTGTCCTTGTAGCATCACAAAAACAATCAATGGAGCATCCAGCTTCTTCATGCTGGCTGAGACAAGGCTGGAAAACACCCTATCAGGCTTTATGCCTCTTCTCTCCCCAAGCTTCTCAAGTTCCTTCATGCCTTTCTTCCCCGGGTCTTCGCTCCCTTCTCCTGACTAGAAATACAAAGGTATTGCGCCCACAATGCAGCTTCCTCCCACGTTAGAAAACAGGAACAAGAAATAAAGAAGCAATTGTTCTTCTTTACTTCTCCTAGAACACAACTGTTTCTGTCCAAAAGATGAAATTAATAAGAAATCTTCAATGTAAATTTCACCTTTTAAACTTAGGAATCAGTTCTGTGTGTGTGGGTGTCATTTACCCTAGGTTAAAGTACTTTCCAGCATTTTCCATTAGGGAAAGTAGGAAGAATCAACATTTTCTGAGAGACTGCTATTATGCCAAGTATTATATGGATGCTCACACAGACAACCCAATTTACTTCTCATAAGAACTCAATAAAGTGGACACCATTAATCCCTAATCTACAGAGTAGGCTGGGCTAAGAGATGGCAAGTAATATGTCCAGTTCCAGATATTGCTTATAAGTAGCAGATCCAGGAATCAGCCAGGCTTCCCTGCTCTCAATGCAAATTCACTGTGTTCTGCTATTCCTTCAACACCAAGAGTGAACAATCTTAACAGTAAAAATGCTAACAGCAGCAGTAGGCCATGGCTCACATGTGTCCACAGACTCCTTTACTCCTTCAGATTTTATTCAAGAATAAAAATATCAAGGAAAGGGGAAAATAAGGTAGTAACATGAAATCCTTACTAGGCACCAAGAAAAAAAACTAAGTGATATATCCATGCTACATTTAATAAAGAACTGTGAAAACAAATCAAACCACTAGTCTCAGAATAAAGGGGTTTTTTTATTTATCCCATCTCTTGTATAATGGAAAATAGTAATTATTCCTGGAACTGTCAGAATTCAACAGCTGAAAGAATAGTTTTCATTTTTAACAAGTTATAATTCTGGAAACAGAACTGAAGTTAAGAAATCATCAATAGAATAAAAAGGAAAATTGAAAAAGCCAAATGTTTATTGTAATGGTTGTTGGTAAAAATAAGCCAAAAAAAATCTTTTGGACAACCTGATTTTTCTAAGCATACCGAAAGTTTGTAACAATCAGTATGTACACGTGATTTCAATAGATATAAATGGTAAGTCAGATTCTTCTAATGAACAATTTGACTACGAACAGTGATAACAAATTTTTATGGTTATTTTTAATAATTTAGAAATTGTTTTAAATATAAATTACTACAGAGACTAATATAATAAGTATGTAAAAACCTCCCAGCTAGACCTAATATTCTTTTCTATTTCTGTTATTCTATTCTATTTCTATTATCAGTAGTATTCCTATTATAAGTGTATTCTTAATATTATTCTCATTTTTTCCCATTCTAACATGTGTACTTTCAATATTTTTAATAAAAGATTTAGAACACTGTAAATAAAGTCTTGGATACCTTCCTCCATCAAGTACTCTTTCTGCCCAGGAATAACTATTAGCATGATTTTGTGTTTAACTTTCCAGGTCATATTTTTATAATTTTACCACAGGTATATATATACTTCACCATGCTTCTTAATGGAACACACATTGTAATTAGTTGATAAATATTATCAAGTGAAGATATGGGGTACCTGAACTGAACTTTAAAACAGAAAATCTTAGCATTAAATAAAATTAAGAACATTAACAAANAAGGAACATTCAGCAACCACCTAAGTACCTGAATTACTTAAGTGTCAGCAGTGTTGAACTACAGGACATTAAAGAATCTGATTATAAAAAATAGGTTATTTTCATTGTTGATAAAAACTTAGCATTTTTTATGCTACTGGTAACTCAAAAGATTAGTATTTCTCAAGTCTCATAGTTAATGAGAGAACACATAACCCTAAGCATAACAACACAGAAGGCTACTACAGTGGCAGAAGCCCAACCTTACCGAAAGATACCTGTCTACCCTTAGCCAGCGCCACCACTCCCCAGACATAGAGTTGGAGAGAGAAAGAGGAACAAAAGTGAAAGAGGGGCCACTAGAGTTGGCAAGAGGCTCCTACCACCTAATCATAACCTACAGTAAAATGAATGGAGGGCCATGAAAATAGTTCACAGAAGTCCTGTAATATAACTCATTAAAGAAGAAATGTACAAAACAGTCAGTGTCAATTATACATTCTTCATTCACCATTAAGAATATATTATTTTACACTATAATTAAAAATTTAAATTAAAGATAATATTGTATATCCTAATATCAGTGGCATTAATGAAAACTGACCAGGCCTCTGGAAATTGTGAAACTGTACCAAAAGTATTAGATTCATTCTAAACTGATAAAAGCATGCTAAGAGTGGTCACAGAAGAGAACAAATATGCATGGTCATGAAGAAATATCCTACCTAACAATCTAAGAAATATAAATTAAACAATGAGATGCTTTTATAGCCTATTACGCTGTTTTCCTTTAAATTTTAATGACTATGGTTAGTCAGACTGTAGGGGAAAGAGCACTCTTATACTGTCCTAATGGGAATGTGTGAATTGAAATAACTTGTCTAGATGTCAGCAGGCAATATGTATCAAGAGCAGTATGTACCTTTGACCTACTAACTACACTTCCAAAAATTTCCCCCAACAAAATCATTTGGAATACATACAGAAATCTATAATGATATTTACTGAGAAGTTATAATGGAAGGAAAATTAAAATTTGTACTTCAAATGATAAGAGAAAGGTTAAAATACAGAACATTCATTCAATCGAATAGTATACAGACATTAAAAACCTTGTCTCTGGAGACATTTAATAGCAATTAAGGAGTAAAAATATAAGTCCTAAATTTGTAATAAACATTGTTTTCCATATGTGCATATAAATTACCAGTATTCAAATTTAGGAGCAGGAAAGGAAAACAATAAAATGGGAAGAAAATATAGTGAAAGAATATTTACCATTCAGAGTTTACAGCTGATTTCTATTTCTTTAAATATCCCTATCTTTCTGGAACTTTTTACAATGATTATATAATCAGAAAAAAATATGTAGTTCTAATGTATACTTAAAAGAAAGAATAAATACAAAGATCACCTTCAGAGGCAGATTAACAACAGGCTGACAACCTGGAAAATGTGCTTAAATAAATGCTATATATTCAGAACTCCCTTTTTCTTGATAATTGTTTCCTTCTCGTTGGCAACTTTGACCATACTTCCTAGTCCCCTGTCATCTACCTGGGTAGAATCATGTCACTAGTTCTCACCAGTTAATGAGCTAAATTAGAAATGGGATCACAATGAAACAATCTCTACTGTCTCATACTGGAGAGTACTACCCGGCCAAAGGAACCATTTATCATGAGTTTATGAGCTAAAAGAATTATTTTTTTTAATTATATGATTCTGTCTCTGCAATTTTGCTGAAGGAGAGTCATTAGATTAAAAAACTGGTTCTCTTAAAGAAACATTCCAAATATTGGAATGAACTTAAAATTTGAAGTATGTGAAAATATATTAATGTGTACTGACATAACTTATGCAATCACATTCTGCTTTGGAAAATAAATTTTAAAATGGTTCATGCATGATATTTAATTACAATTACAATTCGAAGCCCAAAGAATTAAGACTTATAGAAAAACATGTACAAATGGTCAAGAAAAATCTTCATCATTATTTTTAAAGATTAAAAGAAAAAAGTTCAGTCACTTTAGAAATGCATTCTCATTATCA